TATATTAATATGTATATATATATATTTATATAAATATATATTTATATATATAAATATATATATATATAGTATATATGTCTCTTGAATTTGTCCGAGGTGTTATATTTGTTTCACCATTTGTGTCGTATGATAAACGTATAAATTCATTTATAATATATACGTTCTCAAAGTCAATATATGTGAACATAATTATGTAGCTGGAGAAGCGTAATTGAGACAGTCATATTACTCCCAAACGTCATGCTATCCGGCGGCGCCCGCAAAGACGAGACTGCCACTGTGCGCGCATGGACAATGTACTCGGGCACACAGCGGTCACAATAAAAGCGTGGAAGGGTGGGAAAGAAACTATGACAGACTTACTCGTGCGTACCATACGAACATGGAGGGATCATTATATGTTATGTTATTAGCCACTGAGAACATGTTACTTTCGAGGGTATGTGACGCGCAATTGTGCATTGTTCGTAGGGTAAGCTTTAGATAAAAGAAGGCCTGAGAACCTAAGGTTGAGCATCGGCGTGGAGTACAAGCACCTCTCCCAAGGCTCGTGGGTGTGATCGAAATCCAATGTACTGTGGTAAAATATGTTAGATTTTGTATTACCTGTGCATCTACGAGCAGTACTTGCGATGCTAGATCCTCAGTCTTCTAATTGCCCGCACTAAGGCCTGCGGCGGTCAAGGGCCTATTGGATTGATCTTGTAACGATAATCTTAATAACAGAAACTCACTGCTGCAGCATCCGAGTTACTTAAATTTCACCAAACAAACATCTAGTCCACAAATCTGGTTTGAACACGAATGGTGTCAGAGCTGGGAACTGGTCGAAGACAAATGATGTGTGATAGTTACCTGAAAGAAGTGCCGAGTGGACTGCCGGTAGACTATGCCGAATCAAAAACTATCTCGGACTATCCTTTTATCAAAAGACAAAGAGATATATTGTCAAACCCTCGAATTGTATTGAAATTCTGGACTGGATCGTGATTTCCTTCTTCGTAATGAAAATATGAACGATCAACGAAAATTTAGACCGTGTAGCTGTTTTGACCTAGAATTGAATGGAGAGCAATGCTTCAACCCTGTTCAGCTAGTTGATCCCTATCGTCAGATAAAAGGCATTTGCATTTGTATGTGTTAACCACATGAGACTGTGAATGATCTCTGCAGTAATCAAATCTCACTGCTGTGCACGCGAGGCGCTACACAGATAAAGATACTCGATACTATCTTAGAAAACACTGGCAGATTTAGCTTATCGCCCTTTTGCAAATCGTCTGGGTATATCAGCGGGTGGGTGCACGTCTATACATTTAGGATTCATATGTTTTTAGGTAGCAGACTCATATTTATTTAGTACATTCTACCACAATAACCTACATAAGTGTATTATTTTGATGGATGAGCCGGAGAATTGATAGATGGTCTGTCTCGGACTTTGAGCTGATTATTGTTGCTCCAGTGTGCCTGTAATACATAAGTCTTGATGGTGATCTGCACGATTACGGACAAGTAAACTCGCGAACGTCCTATATATTTTATCTTCTAGTATTTGTCCATAAGCATTCATATGACCTATTCTGCCTCGAGTTACATCTACATTACATATCATACACATGAATGTGTGTACATGTATGTTTGTGCATAATTCCTATTTCTACATTCCTGTTTAAAACTGTATTTATAGATACACATGTACATAAGATGTTATTTATTTTTGTATTTGTTTTGTCGTCGTCGTAATACTATGTAGGTATCGAGAGTCTTTATATATATATATATGTATATATATATTGTGTGTGTGTGTGTGTGTGTTGTTTATATATATATATATNTATATATATATATATTATTATATATATTATTATATATTA